AGCTTCACAATTTGATGTATGAGAAAATTCATTTGGGAAAGCCATAAAGGTGCGCAAAGATTTCAAGTCAAAGTATCCGGATATTGAACTTGTGCCTGAGGAAGAGTTTTTCAGTTCAGCCCCTCAAGATATTAAAGGATCTGTACTATCAAAAGACAGTGCACATGACCTAATGCTAAGGCGGCTTCATTTTGAGCTTTTCCGGCGAAAAGAACTCTGCAAACTTCATGAGAAACTGGAGCAACACAAGAAAAGCCTTATGGAGACCATTGCACACCGAAAGAAGTTCCTTTCAAGTCTCCCGAAATAAGCATCCTTGCTTGTCCAACACCAACTAGGGGTTCTGCATACAAAGAAATTAAAGCAGCATAATTTAGCAGAATTACTGCCACCTCCACTCTATGTGAATTACAGCAAGGCTGTAAGGGAAGCCATGTGCTTTCTGATGGATCCTCAGCTTGGAAAGAAGCTATGTTATGTCCAGTTTCCACAGAGGTTCGACGGTATTGATCGCCATGATAGATACGCTAATCGCAATATAGTGTTCTTTGATATCAACAAGAAAGGCTTGGATGGGATCCAAGGACCAGTCTACGTTGGAACTGGTTGTGTCTTGAACAGGCAAGCATTGTATGGCTATGACCCACCAGTGTCTGAAAAGAGACCAAAGATGACTTGTGATTGCTGGCCTTCTTGGTGTTGCTGTTGTTATGGTGGATCAAGGAAAAAGCTGAAATCAAAGAAGGGAGAAAGAAGTTTGTTTGGAGGGTTTGACAGCAAGAAGACGAAAGTGATGGCAAAGGACTATTCCAAGAAAGGCTCTGCCCCTATCCTTGATCTTGAAGAGATTGGAGAAGGGCTTGAAGGATACGATGAACTAGAGAAATCATCTCTCATGTCTCAGAAAAACTTTGAGAAGAGGTTTGGACAGTCACCTGTCTTCATTGCTTCAACACTTATGGAAGAAGGTGGTCTTCCTGAGGGTACCAACAACACAACCCTCATTAAGGAGGCTATTCATGTTATTAGCTGTGGCTATGAAGAGGAAACTGAATGGGGAAAAGAGCTTGGATGGATTTATGGCTTAGTCACAGAAGACATATTAACAGGGTTCAAGATGCACTGCAGAGGATGGAAGTCAGTGTATTGTGTTCCTAAACTAGCTGCATTTAAAGGTTCAGCTCCTATAAATCTTTCAGATCGTCTGCACCAAGTTCTCAGGTGGGCTCTTGGATCAGTTGAGATATTCCTTAGTCGGTATTGCCCTCTATGGTATGGCTATGGAGGAAAACTAAAATGGTTAGAGAGGTTGGCCTATACTAACACCATTGTTAACCCTTTAACTTCCATTCCTTTGCTTGCCTACTGCATCATTCCTGCTGTCTGTCTTCTCACTGGAAAGTTCATCATTCCCACTCTGAATAATCTTGCTAGCATATGGTTCATTGCCCTCTTCCTGTCCATAGCTACTGGTGTGCTTGAGCTCCGATGGAGCGGTGTTAGCATTCAGGATTGGTGGTGCAATAAACAATTCTGGGTGATAGGAGGTGTCTCAGCTCATCTTTTTGCCGTCTTCCAAGGCCTTCTTAAAGTTCTTGCAGGAGTTGACACCAACTTCACTGTAACTTCAAAGGCTGCAGATGATACAGAGTTTGGTGAACTGTACCTCTTCAAATGGACTACACTTCTCATTCCTCCTACAACACTGATTATCTTGAACATGGTTGGAGTTGTTGCTGGAATATCGGATGCCATTAACAATGGTTATGGCTCATGGGGCCCCCTATTTGGGATTGATGGCTCTCAAGAAGGACCTCAGAACAACATCTTATGCAATTTGTTTCCTGATGATAACTGAGCTTCCCCATCAGTCAGCTAAGCTCTTTGTTGGTGCTGCTGTTAAAGTCTTGGTAGAATGGTGTAATTTACCATCGGCCGAAGCCACATGGCTCCCATTGGCAGAGTTCCACGCCACATATCCAGAGTTCGAGCTTGAGGACAAGCTCGTAGTCCAGGAGGGGAGTAATGTTATGGACGCATTCCTCGGGAAGACATACCATCGCCGCCGGCAGCAACAGGAACCTGACCCACCGCCAGCAGCAGCAGTGATCCAATGGTTCTCATCCTACCAAGTTCGGCAACAGCAGTCTCATCCAGATTAGATTAGTCATCTTGCTTGTTCTTATCTTATTCTATTGCTCTTATCTTATCTTGTTAGTAGATTAT